TGATCGGCCACGCGCACCCCAACGCCCTCAACCTGCACGCGCCCCAGCCAGCACCCCCCGGTGCTCTGACGCCCCGCGCCCGCTAGGTGACGGCGCTTCGGCGCAGCTTGGGAGAAATGTACATATTGTACCTGTGTAAATATTGTGTCTACAAAAAACATGTGGTGGGGGAGAAGACCAAAAACGAAATGGTCTTCTGAAGGTTCTCGCCTTCCGAATAAACCTTTTCCGAAAGGCCCAGAAAAGTAGATTTCTTTGTTATGTTCCGCTCATCCACAACCCATCCCCTTCTCGGGGCCGAGGGTGCGAGGCTGACAGGTGACCAGGAGAGGCGGTCCTCGGCGACTTGGCTGGGAAGGGGCGGGCGTGTGGTGTCGCGGAGTCTGGAGCCGTAGGAGGCTCACTGCGGGCTTTCACAAGTCTCGGAGGCGTCGCTCCGGACTCTGCGGTTTCTGCGATTCGGGCGGCACCGCCTAGCGCGCCTCTCGCCCCTCCCACCTTTGCTTAGGAGAAGAGGAGGACCGAGCACTAGGCTCAGCACTAGGCTCGGCACTAGGCTCAGAACACTGGAATCGAAGGACTCGCCCCAAACAGATGTACTGGACTTCGGCCCTCTGGGACCTGGGGGCGCTTCCCACCTCGAAGCGAGTCCCCCTGCGCGCTCACCGGCCGCGCATCTGCAAAGCCTGGGCCTGCCGCTCCAATGCTGACTTCGCAGCCTTAACAAGTCTGCAAAAATAATTAGTGGATCAAATAATGTTCCGGGTTATGACTTAGAAATAACGTCTGTCGAAGTTTTCTGACTCTTTTCCGAAGACTCAGTGCCAGAGGTTGGTATCCCCTTCTGTGCACAATCTGCGGAGCGTCCGGGCGCTGGTCGCCTGGGTGAGGGGCCCACACAGGCCAAGCTGGAGGATGCACTCGGCTGAGTCAGAGCGAAGCCTCACTGAGTTCCGCTCAGATTCTCAGGCCTGGAGAGAAAGCCTTTTCCCTTTTCCCCAATGAGTCTTTTTTTTTTAATCTTCCCACTCCATCCAGAACATGGAGAAAAAAATCTGGAATCTATGGAATGATTTTTTAGGTAGCTGTGGTTTACACTTTCAGTGGATTTATGCCTTGGCCACGAAATAGTGATACATTTAAAATGACAAGCTATAATCTTATTCTTCTAACACTCAAACAGCAAAATGAGCTCCGTATTGCTTTATATAAATAGGTAAAAAATATAAGGTATCCAATCATCTAAATTATAGGGATTTAAATTTTTTCCATCATCAATTTTTTTTCTTTGAACTTTTGTTCATGTTATCTTCAGTGTTCTTTAAACAAATAATTTGAAATTATGTACTGCTGTTTTCCTCTTTCCGGAGGCTGCAAGTATAGAGAGGCGGTTTACCTTCTCTCTGTAAATTAACTCATTCTGTTTCTCCGGACAGGGCTTACGAGCGCTCTGACCCCGTCTGTTTACTGAGGTCATGGAATGGGATGAGCTGCAATTTGTAAACCATCAAAATCATCACAGAGATGCCAAAAATAAACAAAACCCTCCATTCCATTTTCCTCACAATGAATATATTATGTATATTTTGAGGGATCTATAAATTTTAGAAAAGGTCTTACCTGTCAGGGGTTCTTGAAATAACTTATCTATAAAATGTGAGCTATCTATCTCCTCGCTTCTGAACTGATAGAGTTGCAGCATGGAAGCAAGGGTGAGGCCAGGCGCCTTCCTGGATAACAAATCCACATGGCGTAATACAGGATAAAAACAAATTATGCAGAAATGGGAGAGCGGATGGTGCCCATTATTGGAACACATGTCTTACACTCATTTTCATCAGCACTGGATACAGAATATGAAGAAGGCCTTTCAGGCCCACCCCCCATCTGAGCTTTAAGCCAATCTGAATCCCCTTTCAGCAGTGAAGCATTAAAGATATAGTGTTACCCTGGAAATATAAATTATTAATATATTCAGCATTTTTGTCACTTCTCAACTGTTAACCAAATTAGACAAAACTTTCTTGTGCTAAGTAGATTTTCTCTTTGGGATTAGCTTTGGGAATGCACAGGGCCACCACAGTAAAAACTTTGGTAATTTACATATAATTTTGCGAACTTCCACTGGTCCATGACAGTCTTTGTACCTCAAATGTTGGTATTCTTGATTTTTTTTCTTTCTCATTTAACTGTGGAGGATAAAACCCTGCTTTGGATTTACAATGACTTTAGGATAAAAGTCCCTCTCTCAATCTCTCTCTCTCTCTGTGTGGGGGGGTTGTGTTGTGTTTATGTTGTGTCTTTTTCTGAAAGCTTCATCCAAAGTCCCAAATCTCTAGGCTTGGTCAAAAGTCAAGCCAAGAATAGTCCAACTTTGCGAAAGATTAAAAATGTCATAACAAAATGGGATTGATTCCAATCACATTGTGACTTCAGTGTGTTCTTCCTGTACTTTCTCTGACAACACACTATTTCCAGCCTCCTTGTCCCATCCCCCCAACTTGTCCCCCCTCTGTCTGAGTCTCTTATGCCCAATCCCTTCACTCTTTCTTTAAGTAAGTTGTATAGCAATGGTTTCCAAGAGAGGCCCAACCAAACCCAGAAATAACAAAAAACAAAAACCAGTGGGTTTGGCTAGAGGTAAGCCATTGTGACTCCTCTGAAAGGGGCAAGCTCTTGTTCCTTGGTCTTCATCCTTGAGTGGGCAAGAATAAAAATAATCATCCCCATGAAATCAAAGGTTTTCTCCAGGGGCTTGAGGCACAAAGCTTATGGCTGATGCTTTGGGTCTGTCCCCATGGCTTTGCAGGGCTGGAACTAGTAGCTTCCAGGCACTCCAGCTACCCTGCTGAAAGGGCAGTAATACAGAACTCACTTGTGCTTCCAAGCGTTGTTAAACAAAGACAGCCCCATGGATAGTGGGGTCCCCTCTGGTCCAAGCTGCTAGATGCCAGGAAAGGAAGGTAGAGAAGCCACTATGTAAGGTGTGAAGTTCATAGGAAGTTGGTCGTGGGTGTCTGTGTGGAGTCACACACACCAAGAGAAGGGCAGATGTGGGGCATGTAGTAAGAGTTCAATCATTATTTGCAGGATGATAAAACGAACTGCCTAACAGAAATAAGTCTCCTAAAATTCTACATCAGCTCCTCCCCAAAGCTCTTGTTTCTCCCCCAGTCCCCTCCTGTGTATCCATGGCTTAGATTCAGAATTCACCTGATGACATTCTGCTCCTTTCACATGGATAAGATCCAAGCCTGAGCTGACTTGGACTTCATCCTCTTTTAGTTATTCAGAGTATGGCTTCTCAAGCCAAACTCTCTAGGTTTGCTCACCTGTATGACTTTGGATACATTTGCTCAGGCTCTCAGGGTCAATTTCATCATGGGTAATATTTATAAGATAAATATATTAAAAGTTATTATCTTATTTCAGTGGTGGCACTCTGTATACTAAGCTAGGAGCGCTGCCACCATGAGTTCAAGGCCAGCCTAGACTACATAGGAAGTCTCTGTCTCCAAAAGACAACAAAAACGCATAACTCTTAGAGTTGAGATGAAGAGAACACTCAAAGCACTCTGGACAGTGCCAGGGACATAGTGGGTGCTCAATAAATTCTAGCTATATTAGTCTATTTTCTCTTTCTTCCTTTCAAAGAGTGAGAGCCACTTCAAGCTAAAAGCCAAAATACCCAGGAAAATCGTGAAAAGATATTAACCCCAGGACTTTGTTTAAACCCCAAGATAATTTTCTTTGTTTAGGGCAAATGAAAGTAGGGATCTCTAATTCTACCCTATTTTCAATCTTGGGGCTCTGCATCCTCTGGTAACCTAAGATTGGTAGTCAGTCAGTCCTTCTAATAAATCTGAAGTGCTATATAAACGCTTCAAGTCATTCTTCCCACCCACACCCTGTTTCTCTGTGTCCTTCCTCCCTCCCTCCCCAGCCTCTAATAACCACTATCTTCAACTTCTATGAGATAAACATGTCCGCTTCCACACGCCTCACACCTTTTAGATACAGAGATGTGATCTGACATTGTGGAGCAGCTCTTATACCTTCATCCCCACAATCCCTCTCTGAGTACAACTTGCAATGACTATTAGCACACCAATCTTAGCCATTATAATTTTTCCCTCTCAGAATATAGCACAGAGAAATAACTCCACACTCCTTAAATATACTTTCTATGATGGTTTTAAGCTCTTCTCAACAGCCCTACTATTTTTCCCTCATTTTTCCCCTTCTGTCTGCTCCACTCATGGCCTCAGGCCACTAGCTCTTTGTATTCTGCTCCCAGACTCTCACTCCCTTTTAGTTTGGCCCTCAGTTCTCATTCTTAGTGTTCTGATTGCTTCACTCCTGCTACTTGACTTTCCAAGATTTATGGCACTTTACTTTGTAAAATGTAATTTATGAAGTAAACAATTTGCCATAGAGGGTGGGTGTGGAGAAAATGCTCTCCTGTTTAGGACTGGAAGTTGAAACGCATCTCCATACCTTGCAATGCATTGTGTGCTACATCCACGGCAGGAATGTGTGTGTGTGTGTGTGTGTGTGTGTGTGTGTGCACCCAGGTATAGTTATGCAGACATCTGCAGCTGGGAGCGACTTTGACATCCCACTCCTTGTGGCGCCTTGTAACAGGATGCTACCAGACTAGTACTCCTACAGCCTCTCAGCACTCCCTACAATTCCTCAGTTACCTGGTGGGAGGGTTGGGAAGATGGTGCAGGAATGCTTGCCTTAGTCCCTTTCTGCTTGAGTGCAAACCCACCCACAAGAACCACCCAAACATCCATTACCAGGCTGATGTAAGATTTCTAGGTCCTCTCGTGTATTTCTTTTTCTTTCTTTTTTTTTTTTTTTTTTTTTTTTTTTTTTTTTTTTTTTGTTGTTGTTGTTGTTTTTGTTGTACCAGGGATCTAACTCGGGTCCTTGTGCTAAATCACAACCCTTCTCTTGTGCATTTCATGGAGAGGTGGAATTCTGAGGTGAAGTGCTGCAAGCCCACTGTCCCTGCACACTGAAGTCACATCCACTAAGTGGTCACAAAATATGCATTTTTTATCATCACTTGACACCTATCCTACTGCAGATAGGAGAAATAATGGTTTTATTCATTGGGTAGCCTGAAAATCTGAGAGCCTGTGGATTTATATACGTGCACCTAAGGATAGCGACAAACAGATAAGTCTGTCTCAGGAGAGCCAATGTGCACACTTGAGGGGTGTCTGCCCATGGATGGAAAAATTGAAGCCAGAGAAATAAGCCGCCCACTGAAGAGAGCTGCCAGGGTAGGGCTCGAAAGCGGGAACCAAGTTGCTTCTGGCTTGCTGGGAAGATAAGAATCACTACAAAAGTCTGTAAATTTGTCCATTACATTCTTTAAAAAGTT